TCAGCTTCAGAGCTAGAGAGGAACCCCCCCCCACACACACACACACACACACACCCCCTGTGCGTGCAAGCGTGAAATTAACGCTGGCGCTAATGCGTAAGCAGGGGCGGCGGAGCTATTTCCAAAGTGGAAAGCACCAACAAAAAAGGGCACCTACAAAGCGAAATCTCAAGGCGAAATTATACATTTTTTTAGACATTGGTATATACCCTTTCATTGTGATCCCATTATCAGGGACGATTTCAATATTTGTTTTTCTTTATATATCATACAAGTTATTGCTTAAGCATCACACTTTCGGCTGAGTGTGATTGTCTGAATATTCATTTGCGAGCGAGCAAAGCGAGCGAGAAAAAAATGTAAGATCTGTGAGGTCGCAGAGTGAAAAATTACATCTTAGAAAGAGGAAAAAACCAAATCATGATGGGGTTATAAGCATCACGGAAGACTGAAAAAACATTTGTTTTAAAGTGACATATAATTGTATCATCTATAAATGCGAGCGAGCAAGCAAGCTTTAGGGGAAATTACTCTTAGTCGCTTTAAATTAGTGCAAGACTAATGATGAGCAGGTTAGGGGGCACGTGCCCCCCCCCGTGCCCCCCCCCCCCCGTGCCCCCCCCCCCCCGTGCCTACGTGCCTGATGATGAGAGGTTAAGGGGACACATATCGAAAGGGATAAAGACACTTATTAGAAAAGAAAAGGAGCATGTGTCAAGGTACAAAGAGTAATTATCAAGGTTTAAACTGGGCACTTCTTACACCTGAAAGGAGGCACTCACCAGAAATGAGATTGGGCACTTATGAGTATGGGAAATGGGCATTTGTCGACGGAAAAGGGGCATCCATCAGAAATTGATTTATCAGAGGTGAAAAGGGGCATTTATGAAAAGGGGATAGGTCCCTTAATAGAAAGGGAAAGGGGCACGATTCAAAATAAAAGGGCAGTTAGCAAAGGTGAAAATGGGCACCCATCATAGATGAAAAGAGTACCTATCAGGAGGGGAAGGGGTACTTTTCAAAGTAAAACGAGCATCTCTCAGATTTGAATAGGGACAATTATCGAAGGTGAAGAGCGCACTGAAGTGAAAAGAATTAACTTCTCATATATGAAAATGGTCATTTACCAGAGATGAAAAGGGACACTTTTTATTTATGAAGGGCCTCATTTTTCTAAATAGCCCTTATCAGATAGGAAAGGGGGCACATGTGTTGATGAAATGTGCGCTTATCCGAGTTAAAAGGGGGAAGGGGCACTTCTTTACAAAGTAAAAGTGGCCCTTTGGGGAGGGGGGTACTTGAAGAGTGGGGCGAACTTTGACCCCTACCCCTGCCACCCGCCCCATCATCATCGCTTGTAGTTCACGTATGCACCCCTTCCTCCTAATTCGTTGTTACCGTCACTGCCATTTACGTATGGCCGGCCGGCGTATTTTTATTTACACGCTAGCGAGGGGAATTTCTCGATTAATTCCAATGAAACCGCTTAAAATTCCAATTTACATCCAGGAGAAAGTTTTCTTAACTTTTTCTTGAAACACTTGAACGGTTATGGAAACTGTTTGTGTTTCTAATCTCCAAATATTAATATTATTCTGCATCAAATATAAAACATTGATTTCTACTGTGATATGTAAAGGCACGAACTTACGTTAATACATACACATAATTTGTTTGTAACCAAGAAGGTGCACCATGGTAATACATTTTAACAAACACATCAACATGTTACCTAGACAACTCATCACCATAGCCATTGTAAAACCATATATTAATGATACATGTAAAATATAGATTGAAGCAATTCTCGTCGATTGGCTGTATCCTGAGTGTGATTTATATAATGGATTTTGAGTAACATTTTCATCTACCTGTAGTTGAAGAATAGATACAATGTATAACATCAATTAAGTTGGAGTTCAATTGGAAGGAAGTAACGAGGAATATTAAAGCAAGGGAGACTGGGAGATGAGGAAAGCAGGAAGTTAGAAATTGAGAGATTACTCGCGTGATAGCCTTGCATTAATGAATCCTTTATATAATGTTGTCTTGAGAGAAAGTAGACGATTTTTTTTAATTGGAGATTAGTGCAAGTATTAGATATATTGGAAATAGAATTAATGAGAAATTTATTTTTTTATCGAGATCAATACATGGGGGGGGGGGCACCATCAAAATAGGGCACTTTCTGGAATATAAGGTGCACCTACAAAGGGAAACATCAAAATGTAAATCTACCATATTAAGACATTGATAGACGTACGCGCAACGCATGTCACACACAGAAAAATGAGAAGAAAAGAAAGAATTATTTTTTTTTAAAAGAAGATAGAGGAAAAGGAGAGAGACAGAGAGAGGAAGAGAAAGAAAGAAAGAAAGAAAAAAGGAAGAACATGAAACTTAACTTTACACTTAGGCCTACATATTACATTTCCGACTGAGTTGGCTCGACATGTGCTTAAGTAGTCTGCGGACGAAAGTACAACAATACGAAAACAGAAGTTATATGAAATTGTCTTTAAGAGAGAAAGAGAGGTTAAAATCTAAAATGAAATGAAAGGGGGTATGTGACTCTCAAGGAGGAAATTACAATTTCTATCGCTCATGACGACTATTTGGAATTTCCTAATTTTTTTTAAAGTTCAAGAACTTCCTGGTGCTCCGCCCCATGCAAGACTCCCGGCAACAGCGAATTATTTACACAATTTCTTGCTGTCTGCTGCCTCGAGATCACTGGAGCGAAGAAAGGTAACATTATAGCAAGAATCCCTATTCAGTGAAGGATTTATCCCTTTTATCATTAAAGACTCCCGACAAAGGCTCTCCCCCTGCAAAATTGGAGAGAGTTTTATGTAGTTTAAGCTTCTAACAACCACGCCCGTGGACTTTTTATTATTTACACAAAGGTAAAAGTGTATAGCAAGAATCCCTATTCAGTGAAGGATTCATCCTTTTTTATGCAGATGCTTCTTCTACCATTCTTGACCAGAAGTGCGTTTCAAACTCAATGATATGGGCATCATCCCATTGAATGTTGTGTCCAGTGTTACGGGTTTGTTTTGCTACTTGCTGCCTAATCTGAGGGCTCTGTTGTGCTCTTTAAAAAGAGGACACAATAGGGGCGGCGCAATTTAAATATCAAGGAATGTATTAGAGTTTATTTCTAAAATGAAATGAAAGGGCTATTTGACTTTCAAGAGCGATAAAAACTCTAATCCATCCCTTGAAATTTAAATTGCACTGCCCCCATTCAGTGTGCCATTTTCAAAGAGCACAAAAAGGCTTCAGATTGAAGATTCCATCTCATAAAATTGTCTATCAGAGAGAAAGAGAGTTTATTTCGAGAGAAAAAATGAAATGAAAGGGCTATTTGACAAGAGCCCTTTCATTTCATTTTAGAAATAACCTCTCCTCCTCTCTTATAGACAATTTTCTCTCTTGAAAGTCAATAACCCTTTCATTTCATTTTAGAAATAACCTCTTTTTTTTCTCCTAAAGACAATTTCTTTCTTGAAAAGGCTCTACCAGACCCCTTAAGCTCTGTCACGTTGTATGGATCCATTAGAAAGCAAAATAAGCCCACTCATTGATACATATTAAAACGTCATAGCGATTCATTCAAATAAGAAATCCACGTAAGAGGCATTTTGAATGTTTTAAGAAAATTCTTTCAAATTCCAGGATATTGGGTGTTCTTTTTCAGGAAACTCTATTTAAACGAGTGGAAGCACTGGCGGTTCTGTTTTTTTTTAAACTGTAACAATTCTTCTTGGATCAGATATAGACCAAAAACAAGCCTCATTATCTTCAGTATACAAGTGTCATTTCGGACCTTACAGCTTTCATAGAAATCGCTTCTGGACCGTCAAAGAAAAAGTTTGAGAACCCCTGGTCTACGCATTATACACATCAGGACCAACTTGACAACTTGACAAAAATTTGAGGGGGGTTTGACCCCCCCCCTCTGCCTTATCCATCGTTACCGTCACTACCATTTGAGTAGGGCCGGACCCCCTCCTTAATAACGACTCCCAAGCCATCAAGAATGACCCCATAATTTATAGATTACCATTCTGCCGTTCTTTGGAGGGGCCGGGCGCGGCCTTTTCAGAAGTGTTTCTACACTAACCTTTTCATGCACTCCGGCTTAACATAAACAAGCATGCTAAGATTGTTTTGAAAAGAAGCATAATTTCGACTCAGTTTCGCATAACCTAAAAATAAGAATACGGCCAGTCACCCCCCCCCCTCCCCTTAATGCATCCGCCTTCACGCACCCCCTTCCCCTTGTCTTTCCCTTATTCGTCGTTACTGTCACTAATTTTTAGTGCCATTTCGTTGTCTTGCTTTCTCACCGGCTCCTCTCTTCTTTTTCTTTCCTCTTTTTTGAACTCTCTCTATTTTCTTCTACTACTTTTTTCTCTTTTCTTTTATCTTCTCCTTTTCCCCCCCCCTTTTTTCCCTTCTTTTTTTCTTCCTCTTTTTTCCTTCTCAATTTTTTTGCTTCGCCAATAGGGGGGGCCGCGGCCGTTTCGGCCCACCCCTGGATCCGCCACTGCCTATAATAAGGACATGTACAACATGAAAGGTTTAGAGTTTGACGACCTTATGATCCAGCGTGACATGACCTAGGTCAAAACACTGGAATTGGGACTTCTGCTTCTCTCTCTCTCTCTCATGTATTCAAACGCTTTAGATAGGTGTCAGTTCTAAACCCGAGCCAGGTATAAACCCTCCCTAGAGTGAATATGTCAATAAATATCTTTTTAATAATTGACAGCCATTTATTTAGATAAATATTAATCTACATCAACCTCAGCACGGGAGGAATGCCCCTTTGGGCTCGTCTGTCCTTCCGTGAAGAAAAGAAAGAAAGAGAAATTTAATACATATAGAACAAATTTTTGTGATGATTTTATGATCATCACATATATACAGACTAGAGGCATTCGGTAGAAGAGAGAGAGAGAGAGAGAGAGAGAGAGAGAGAGAGAGAGAGAGAGAGAGAAAATAAAATATACATGCCAGCATAAAAAATGCGCTCATAAAAAAAATGGAATGTAAACTTGATCGTAGGTGTGACACCTCGAATCACCTTCTATTGTTAAAAAAGGTCAGTTTGTTGGCTTTATTCCGGTTATCGTTCTTATAGGGCAATGTCGGGCGATGATAAGGTTTAATTGCTTCTCGAGAGAGCTTTGCAATACTCTGAATATATGTCATCAACTAGACTGTGAAGGTCAAAACATATCAGTGAGAATGACAACGCTTGTTTAGGAAAGTCACAGACCCAGTTTTGAGCGTGTGCGGATCTTAGTTCAGGTAAGGATATGTTTTTATGTTTATCTCTTGCAAAACAAAAACAAAATAATTGTAGGAATTTACATCGTGACGGGCACGGTTCTCCCTCGCGGCTAATAAACGTACGGATATCTGTCGGGATGACCCGTGTCTGTGTCCATCTCGCTGTCCGTCTGGCCAAAGTGTCCAATTATAATTGTAACCACGACTGATGGCTGGAACTATACTTGGCTTTGATCTCTAGCTCTATAAGCACCTACCATCAGCTTCTGCTCACTACCAGGACTGTACTGCAAACTTCAGCCGCCGACGGCAACTGAGTGCCCTCCTTCTCGATCCCGTCACAGCAGCAGACATTTGTCATCTGTCCAGCAATCAACTACCTCGGTATGTTATCAGTCACCGGTTATCACAATATCTCGTTAGCCGTAATAATCATTTTCACTATTGTACATTTCATTTATTTCCCCAATAACAGCAAATAAAATTTACAAAACCTTTCGTTTGATAAATTCATTTCAATTAAAATATTAACAAACGAGAAATATACATAATTGTGATATGGTAATCTAAAGATTGTCTCGTTGGGTAATTGTGGAATCTCTCATAAAAAACTTTAAAAAAATATTGCATGAGGCAACTCGTCCAGATCCAGTTGATACATAATGCAACTCAAGACGAAGATTTATAAATCATATATTTTTACAATAATATTGCAATAGAAAAAATTGATCAGAATGGGCTAATCTGTTTGTATGACAAATGATTCTCATTGCCCTTTCTTGTAGCAACAAACAATTTATCCAGTTGACTTTTGGAGGAGTTGCCCCTTGCTAATTGATCCGAAGTGCTTAATTAGGTCATTGACCCCTAATGCTGCACACAGTACAGTAATATAGTACACGTCTAATGAATCATCGGCATAGATAATTCAAAGCATTCTTTGCAGAGTTCTTTGCTGATATACAGTGCGTCCCGAAAAAAAAGAAACCGAGAATTATCGATGTTTTATCATAATTTAATCACAATTATAATTAAAAGAACTCCATGATGTGATGCTTTAATTGTCTCTGATGGAACCATGGTTTTCGTAGTAGTCGGATCCAACAGGCCAAGCCGGACGGGCGACTTTAATAGCCGTGTGGAAGATATAAGACATCCTGAAGAGCACTGGTGATTTATGAACTATGCTGACTGAACTTGATCCTTAAACCTCCAAAGAACAGTGCAGTATTAAACATCTGTTACTGTTTTTTTCCCTTCACTTTCTATCTTAAAGAACAACCTTGTAGGTTTATCCAGTAGTTTATGTCATGTTCTGTCGTATTTCTTCATTCTTACGTCGTGTTGGTTAGATGTAGGCCTTGGTTGGTTTATCTCCCTTATAAGAAATGTATCATTCAAATTATGCATACATATGCAAATATACAAATTAGTTATCAAACATACGTCGGTTGGATTTCTTTATTCGAACATAATGGTTCTGTTTGCTCAACACATTTATTTTGTTACAAATCTTAAAAATGCTTTGTTACATTTTGTAGTTTTAGAGATTTTGAGCAGCAGTGAATCTACTTGATCATTGTCCTAGCCTGTTTGGGACTTTCCTTTACAAGGATTGCTGGAAAACCTCGATGTAGCCATAATTGTTCGCAATAGTAGGATATAAGTATGCAAATAAATCCCATATTATTTTGGGTGTATTTTGTGCTTTTATAGGGTGTATCAATAGCATGTAACCAATTTCTTCTAGGACCCGACCCTTAACGTCACGATCCGAAAGCTGAGCGAGTAACGTACCGCTAGACCAAATCACATTTGCATAAATATACTCCGCTACTAATATATAAATTTGTTAGTAGGTAGTACAAAAGCCATAGGCCCGAATTCACAAAGGAGGTTTGTCGACAAACCTTGGTTTTCGTACGTCATATGACGCGTTTTACGCATTTTTTACAAACCTGGTTTGTAAAGAACAAAAGGAGGTTTGGCGAAACAAAAGGAGGTTTGAGCTCAAACCTTGCTTTGTGAATTCGGGCCATAATGTCTGACCGACCTATACGTCATGTTAATATGTAAATTTACTCTAATTATTGAAATACATTAACAGCCGAATGAAGTCATTCGTAAGGAGGGACTTAACAAAGACGTGTTCATTAAATTTGATGAAATTACGACACTGACACCTCCAACAATTCTCTTTTTTGCCACTGGCCCTTTGAACATTTTATCGTCTAGAAACAGCTCGGTTAGTGCTTTTCTCGTTTCACGTCCAACAACAAATGACCACAGTCGCTTTAATAACCTAATCTGTACAGGTACTTGTGGTGGGTACTTTAAAAACACCAACACAATAAAAAGCCCGCCAAACATTTATACCGTTATTTAGTTGTTGTCATCTTTTCACGGCAAATGGCTAATGTGTTTTTATATCCAGGTGTTTCCCTTCATATTCGGTTCGGAAGCGATTTAATCGGGCCATGTAAATAAATTTAAACCATTAAAACTTGTCATTGTTTTATTTTCAAGAAATGCAAATCTGACTCATTCATTCACTCTCCATAACGTCATTTTAAATGGACCCGGTAACATTGTTCAGATGAGAGAAAATGGTGCTAAGGAAATTACTTCAATGCTAGATGTACAATTAAAGATAATCTGAAAGTTTGCCGTGAAAACAGACAAAAAACTGATCTAATCGATTTTTGATTCCTCCCAACGATATTATCATAATTTAATTAAATTGTAGGTGAATGTTAATCGTCACAAAGCAATAATTGACTCTATTTACCATTTCAAACATTTAAGTGTTGACACATTTTTTAAAGCTTGGTTTATGTCTTATTTTTCATGGAAAAACGGTTGGAAAGTTCAAAAATTGGTCGGGGGAATTTACTGTTAGAGGGTGTCGCACAGTGACGCCTTCAAAGAAAATTATAAATATCTTTGTGGTTTGAAAACATTTTCAGGATTTTTTGCACTGTTAGAGGGTTGGTAAGGTAGAACGAATATAATTAATAACATTTCAAACACAAATTACGCAGTTTCTTTTTAATCAACCGTCAATAATGTTACTGGTCCACTTTCAGTTGCATGTCGCAATACGTTTTCAAAGCGTGGATGAACGGATCTTCTCAGCTAGCCACATTAATTTGATGATTAACCCTGCACGCAGCCAATTCCTGTACACCTGCGAACAACCATAGAATATTTGTATTTCTTGAGAATTAACCTTGTGATGTAGGACGAAGGTCAAGGTTCAAGAAGAATGCAAATCAAATCCTCAGCCAGTAGGCTTATATTTATTTCAAAGTTCATCTCCTTTATTTAAAGTCCAAGGTACGGTGGTAATAGAGTCCCACATTGACCGTTAATTGATACACACATTTCTCACGCAAGTGTGGCGATTAGATTCTCTTCAATACGGAGAAACCCAAACCAAAGCCTTCATGTTATTTCATTGTTAAAGATTATGTTTCTGACTTTTCTGAGCAATATCAATAGACAGAAGCTTAAAACAGTGGTGGATCCAAACTTCCTTTGTGGGGTCAAGTCAAGGCCCCAAGGGAGGGGTTAAAAGCCTGTAAGGTCGTCCAAGGAAAAACAAGTCGGACAGTAATAATACAAATAGTCATATGATATTAATAGTAGTTATAATAATTATAATGATACTGATGATGATGATGATGTTGATGATAATAATAATAGGGAAAAATATAAGTAATAATAATAATAATAATAATAATATTTAAGTAGAAGAAGAAGAAGAAGACGATAAGGAAAAAGAAAGAAAGAAAGAAAGAAAGAAAGGAAGGGAGGAGAAGAAGAAGATAATCGATTGTTAGTTAACAATTTTTAAAAGTTGCGTACAACTTGAAATTGCAAAAGGATTTTTTTTTTTAAATCAAGGACAACAACTAGAAACGACAGAATTTGGGGCTTTTTTAATCTGGGAATTTGGATCCCAAAATATATTGTCATCCCGTCAAGCCTGTAATAGTTGAATCACCGGGGAATAGTGTGACTGTTTAAATCATTGGCAAGTGTTATCAATCCAACTGTTTAACCCCCAGTGCCCTCGAACGAACGACCCCTCCCGGTTACGCCCATTTACCCCATCTCACCCATGAATAAATGTAAACTTGTCCAATAGGAAGTAAGCCTACTGTATAGGAAGTAGCAGGCGCGTACGCAGGGGGGGGGGGCGGTTTTGGGGTTGAACCCCCCCTTTGGTACTTTTGGTACTTTGGCTGACCTAAAAAAGTTGACCTTACCCCTCCCCCAACGGAGCAAAATGTCAATTTTTCAAATTTCGAGACCCCCCCCCCCCCCCAAAAAGTGTCCTTTTACCCCCCCCCCCCGCGCTTATTCAGCGGCTGGCCGAGTCGTTGCGAAATTTTCGACCCGATTTAAACATGATAACCCCCCCCCCCCCCCTTTGAAAAAATCCTGCGTTCGCGCCTAAGAAGTAGTGTGTATATCAAAAACATTGACAAATAACACAAATTGCAGTTCTCGTGTGAAACATTTCATTTTATGACAATATGTGAATCACACGATTACCTTTTAAAATATTTTTAATGAGAGTAAGGCAGCATTAAATCATTTTTTTTTTGGGGTCTTTTTGGTGACCATTCCTAAATTTGGGGCCAATGAAGAGGTCCCTCCTTCTCCCCTAGCTGTGCCCTTAGAACCACCGACCCTGCATTTAAAAGTACATATATAAAGCTCTCTATAAATATCGCTCTTTAAATACAAAGCTGACTTCCTGTCAGTGTATAGCTACGGTTTACATACCTACACAAGTTAAAGTGAGGTATCTAAGAAGAGGGGCGTAGTGATCGAGCTAAAAGTAGTTTTTTTAAATGGTAAAACTTTGAATTCAAGAGCACTTCAGGCTTAAACATAATGAACAGTATATATGTTGTAGCTTTGACTCATTCTGTGCTATTCCCCGTTTCATCTGCCCTTTTCTCATAATATATTGGGAGAGGGGGGGGGGGGGGGGGGTTGTCGATCTCCCATGAGCCCTGACCACGGAATCACCGCCTTGCCAGGCATATAAGCACGTGACTGTGATCACTGTGGCGGTGGTTTTTTCAATACGGTATTGGTTGGGTTTTGTTGCCAATAAATAAGACACTCACAATCAATCTTTTCAATTGCTTATGGAACCATTAGGACTGTCATCACTGTGATTGACCATGGCAGCCCTGAGCATCGTCGTGGTCGTCTTCGGGGCCTTAGAAAACCTCATCCATGCCGGCGTCATCTTTGGCTGGCCCTCACTCGTCTTCGTCCTCAAGGACATTGGTTACTATAGCGACAAGTGCCCCGATGACCCGACCCCAACAGGTGCAAGCAGGAAGAACGCTACTACCGAGGGTAATGATTGTTTGTTTCTCTTTCGATTATTTCAAACAATTTTTTTTTATATGACGTATTCTTTCCTCACGTAGAGCTTGGTATACCATGAATCATAATATTAAAGGGAACTGGGAGAGGTGCGTTGGCTCAGTGGTAGATCAGTGGTCTCCGATAACCTGGAGGTCCCGGATTCGAAACCAACTGCGCTAGTGCCCTTTTAATTGGTAAGGCATTATTCGCCGTTACCAATCCCCTCGGAGAGGACTTAAAACCGTCGGTACCTTGGTTGCCCACTGCCAAACATACGCATGCTTTTTAGCAGTCTTTGTCTAATTCCCTTATTTCATACATGAGCTGAACATTCTTATTGTATTACTAGTGGTATGATATCACGTTATAATAGTTTTACTGCGCTTTTGTATACAATGATATGAATAAACATCATTATTATGAATACCACTCGCTACACCTTGATTGATATCAAAATCCTATCGTTTTTACGCCGTCCCCTGAGAGTGAGAAAGCTCACTTATTGATCAAAGTTATTGCTTATGCTTTATTGTCCATAAATGAAACTTTACCAGAACTCAACAATCAAACATTAACAGTTAAGTCCTTTGATCCTTCAGCTGTTTACAATACTTCGGGGACGATGTCCATCTCGACGACGACGACGTCGGGTGAAGTATTGTGCGAGGAGCAGGATGCTGCACTGGTCTTGGTATACACGGTAGCCACGGTCATCCTCCCCCTCAGCTTGCTACCAGCTGGATATCTCCTCCTCATCACTGGTGTCAGAAACTCAAGAATCGTTTTCAGGTATTTGCTTGTTTTCAAATCAATTTTTTTTTTATTTTTAAATTTCACAACTCTTTAAAAACACATCAGAAGATAACCAAACAAATCAGTATAAATTAAACAATATAAATATAAAAACATTCATTTACATGGTACTATGAAAGAAGGATGAAGGGTGGTGGATGGGATTGATCAACAAAGGCCATTGGCCTGCCAAGGCTGTTCCCCCTATATTACCACCCTTCAAGAGAAATACATTATTAACAAAAAACAAAACAAAACAAAAAACAATCAAACAAAATGATAATAAAACATAGCATGATGACATAAAACACATCATAACTATATACATAAATCACATAAATGGCAATTAGATCAAATAAAACTACTCAATCATATTGAGATAAGAGTTATATATTTTCCTGAATGCAAGAACAGTTGATATTTCTTTTAGTACATCTGGCAAGCCATTCCAAAACTGAGGGCCTTTTGGTTTATGAAAGGCAAGGGTGATATGTTTTACCTTTCCCCGAACTTTTTACACAGATACCCCCTTTGATAATTTATACTTGGGGGTTATCAAACTTTTTCCTTGACGGTCCGGATGTGATTTTTCATGAAAGCTGAAAGGACCGAAACAATTGGCATGTTTAGTTGACTTAATCAGTTATTTCCATACATATAAGTTTGCTTTATTATACATATACTTGTCTTTACAGTTCACGTGTATCTTAATTTCAAGAGTTAAGACAGTCAAACGTTTTTCCGGCAACATGGCGTGGAAACACGCAAGTCTTTTTACATTGCATGTTCTATCCTTGTTTTATGTATTCCCCGGACCTGTGAAGTTAGTGGGACGAATCATCTCCCTGCAAATGGTACAAATCAACGTTCTTTTTTTTTCTTAAATTGTGTTGCTTTTCTGAATATTTTAATGATGTTATACTTGGCATGGATATTCATGCCTTTGCACGTACACTTTAAACAGAAAAACCATGGCGAAACTACAATGGGGGATAAAAGTCTCATAACTCTAGCACAAGATAGTAAACAGAGGAAATTGAAGATATATAGCTCATCGTTTGACTATGACATTTATTGTTCATTGTCAGTACCGTTTTGCACGCAATAAGGATTAAGGGCGTCAACTTCTTTATTTCGGAAACAATTTCATTGTCATGTACAGCAATTACAGTAGAAATGACTATGGTGCGCTATAAAGAGACACCCGTATTAAGCGCCTAATAAATATTGTGTATTATTATTATTATTATAGTCGATCAGTGCTTGAATCGAAACATACGCCCCCCCCACACACACACCCTATAGTGGAATGGGGGGGGCGCACAACCGATCCGTTCCCCCCTGTTGAAACCAAACTGATATACCTCCATTACACCGAAATATAATTTTGTAATTTACTTGTCAGAGAAAATTCTGCTCACTAAAAAGAACCTGAAAAATCCTAATGAATGTTGTGCCCCCTCTTTATTAAAAGAAGAACCGCGCATCTGCCCCTATAGACATTGGCAACGCACTATGTAGGATGAGAATCTCATGAGAATCGAATTCAAAAGTATGTTTTTATTATTTTTTATTTTCAAACCAAGCACGTCATTCATTTTCCGCAGCGTTGTAGGTTTACTTTGTTTCCCGTATTGTCATGATGCATGAGTCTTCCAAACAAGTAAAATAAAAAAGAAATCTGTTTGTATAGTATGTACAGACGTAATTTGCTTTTTACTATTTCAAAACCTTATCATGCATGTTTTCCTCAATGCATACGATTCTGGTCTTTAAATCACACTTAATTAAAATTGTTAGACTGCCTGGTACCTCCTTACCGATAACGGTAATTCATATATTCATAATAACAAATAATGACAAGAGGAAAGCGATTTAATCATCCATATTGGTAAGAATTTTGACCGCAAAACTTTTTTTGAAAACATATTGGAAAGATTTTGCTCAAGATATCTCTTCTGCTTTTAAGAGAAAAGAAGAATTGACAAGATTTGTTATTTGTTCTGGCTGCCATTACAGGTTGGCGTTTTCAGTTATGAAAATGTTTTTTTCTTCATGTTTTAACTTAGTTGTGGTTTTCATTGATTGAGTGATTGACTTATAGATTGAAAGATGAAAAGGAAAAATAAAAATAAAAAGAAGGAAGAGAACAAGAATGAGAACATGGAGGGGAAGAAGAAGAAGTGGATTATTAAGAGCAGAAGAAGAAAAGGAGGTGAAGAAATGGAAGAAGTTAAAACAGGAGGAAATAGGAAATAATAACATTTGCTCACATCATGAGGTCATTCAGTTGTTTTATTGCCTTTAAAATATACGAATATTGTCTGATTTATCTTTGGCAATTTTCCCCTTTTTTAACAGTGTGATGATGATATGTGGTTACGTGTGTTTAGCTCTGAGTTCGCCTGATATACCAAGTCTACTCTACCCTGCATCAATCTTACTGGGGGCAGCAGGACTCATCATTATCCTCGCAAGCTTCGAGGTGAGTAACACCCGCATACGACGGGTGTCAATTAAGGCATGACGTAGGACTGAGTCGATTAATGCCTGACGTAGCCCTGCGTCGGCGATTAGCGCGGACTTTGACAAGCCCTGTATGCCTGACATCGTACACCAAATGAATATAGAAAAAACAATACGACCATCGGTGTCCATTAACATGCTTAATGGCGCATGCTCTTGTTGTCTTTACAAGCTTGATAAGCGCAGGCAATAATTGACGCAGCGAAGTGACGCGTCGTGGAGACTTTATGAGCAGAAAAATATAAAATACAATTTAGTGTGTGCATGGCAAATAGGGTTTTGCCAGGGGGGGGGGGGATTTCGGTCACGTTGAATGTCGTTAACGGTTTGATTACGACACTTGCCCCTGCGACCATTGTTCCGCTTCAACTGCATAGACTTTTTGTTTCTTTACTTCACCCATGGATCCAACACTACATGTAAAACATGTATACCTAACAATTGCCATTTGCGAAGTTGCCATTAAACTCGTACTTAAATAAACCGTGGCAGTTTCTTTTTTGCATCGGTTCACCGCGTAATATCCGAACTAGCCTTTAGATATGAAAACATTAAGTAGATTTTGTACATAACCGCATTATATAATTGTATCTCTCTCTGCAGATTGCCAATCTGTTTCCAACTCAAAAGTCAACCGTCATTGGGGTGATGAACGGCTGCTATGATACTTCAACGCTAATCTTCCTTCTAATAAAGGTAAGGTATTTTTCATACCACCGTTTACGACCATCCTTTAAAAAAGGGGGACTTATACATCAGTCCCACCTCAAAACAGACTCCATACCGACTCTGGGGAGTGTTTCACAAAGACTAAGATCGACTTTAAGTTGGACTTAACTATGGCAGGCCATTCTTGTCACTGGTTGCTCTCATCATTGGTAATTTCGAAGGGTATAACTTAATTACCCCAATCTTAAGCCACTCCTGCATTGACGTCTTTTGGTTGCGATCCGACGTTTATACTGGCCACAATAACATTGTTCCAGCTAGGCTTTATTTCTTCTTAAGTATAGGGTAAGGTCGCTATTGAGTTTTAAGTTAGGTTTAGTCCGAAGGGTTGGTTTAGGTAAAGTCTTTGTCCCGGAATGAAGATGGGAAATACGTTTAGTTTAAAAAAATTGAACACGGAGCATTTGTCGTTGGAGCATCTGTCGTTGAACCCTCTCGGAACAATACGTTGCTTATATTAGAGGTGTCGCAGTCGAGTGACTTATTCTATTGACTGGAAATGCAAAGATTATGGGTTCGAGCCCCGGCACGGCAATGATGTCATTGAGCAAGGCATTTATCTACATTGCTCCTCTCCATCCAGGTCGGTCATCTTCACAATTAAACCTCGTATCTACTTCTGTGTCAACTCTTTCTTATGGTAATCGCTCTTTTTGCAAAGCTTCTGCTGAACTTTGGAACAGACTACCTTTAAATGTAAAAAAACTGTCAAACTGTTTACCTATTTAAAACTAGTCTTAAGACACATATATTAAAAATTGCGTTTGATGATTATTTAACTCTGTTCACTTTGATGTGTATTCCATGTATTGTAATTTGTAGGTTTATTTGAACTTTGTTAGTTTTGTTTAATATGTAATTGTTTATCAGTCTATTTTGTGTGTTATAGCGCTTAGAGACTTTGGTGGTAAGCGCTTTATAAGTAACGTTTTTATTATTATTTTTATTAGGTGTTTATTGGATACCCGGTAGGATTCGTATGTCATTGTAATTTGATTAGGATCTGTGCGTCTGTATGAAGGTGCCTAGCTGGAATACTCCCAAGGGAGTGGATAATGTGCAGAATAGTAATAGAATCAAGTGACCGGGGTAATGACAATACTGTAAGTGTTTTGGTTAGTTAATGGTAAAGTGCTATCATTATAAGAAAGTGGTATCTTTTTTTTCTTCTTCACTATTAACATTGGTTTTATTATTACAATTTTTATTTTCATTATTATCATTATTATGATCGATTTTATTATCATCATTATTATTATTATTTTAGCTCGCGTATGAAAACGGAATATCGTTAGAAGTTTCCTCCCTGGTGCTCGCATGTTCCACAATCTTCTTCGGTGTCAACATATGCCTTCTTCCCCGTTATCATATTCCATGGCCCCTCCCCGACGACTACAGCCTTCAATGCGCATGCTCTCCAGATCCCGATGTCGAACGAGAAACAACGAGAAACAACGAGAAAGAGATGGTCCTGAGGTTAAGTGAAGGAAATTTACAGTCGAACTATAAATCGTGCGACGTAGGCACGCAGACATTCGACTGCGATAATCTCGGGTTCGAAGACGAGGAGGTGTACAAAGGTATGGTAATGAACAATTGAATTGAATACAGACAAATATAAAGTTACATTGATATTGATATATACAGTATAATTATACAGAAAATTGATGAAGAAGAGAGGTTCCGTGCTTTTTATTCAACAGTCTTAATTAGGTCACGTCATCTCATGTTAACACGTAGACTTACTATGTATATCGAGGGATGTTATGCTCGATATTAATCTACATGACATCATTAGCATCGGCTTTTACATTGATATTACTTTTACCTCATTTTCTAATGACTTAAATTTAAATAACGCCTTGTTTTGAAGATGGGTCTGGTGTTTGATACAAAACATTAATGATCTTCCAACTCCAGGTTTTCAAAGCGGTAAATGAATAATGTAACTAACATAAAAGACAATTCCTGTTATTCACAGTAAAAAAGAGGGTGTCGTTGTCTTTGGCGGAAGGCAGCAGCAAGGATACATCCAAACAAAAGTGGACCAAGGAAAGCACCTTGGGAAACCCCCTGGAGAGTATCAATGAGAAGACCCTGGCTAAACGCCGCGAGAGCGTCCACGAGCACAGTGCTGAGCAGAGGAGGGACGAGTTATACCCGACATTCTTCTCGTGTTTGAAGAGTCCGATGTTTTTCTTCATGTCGTTTTGGGCCATCGTCATCCAACTCCAGCTCCTCTTCGTGTTGGGGATCATGAACCCGTGGCTGACGTGGCTTGCCGATGGCGATCTCGACGAAGGTAGGTTAATCTACGATTTGTCCATGTTTACAACATGGTCTTATACAATGAAGACAATAAAGATGGTGTTGTCGATAATAATAATGATGACGATGTTGATGATGATGATAATGATGATGATGATGGCTATTATCATAATCACTAAGTCATAAGATGTTTAGACAGAGAAGGAGAGGTGAACTTTTGATAGCGTTCATTATTTTATTTCAAGACCGACAGTGACCGAATCTGGTTATGCTACATCGCTAATGATCATCACGATGTTGATAATTATTATTTGATGAAGACGAGGAGTAGGCGGAGGGTGTTGGTGGGATTAATGATGATATCATTGATGATGATAATGATGATGATGGTGGTGTCGCTATAGTGACGAATGTGGAGATGGTAATTATGATGATTGCAATAAATCGTGGCAGTGATGATGATGATGACAATTACACTGAAGATAAAAGCATCGAAAAAATATGCAATCATACTGTAATTTATTCTGCATCAATTTCATTTTATTTCTAAAACTGCTCTAATGGTTCAAGTATTTTTAAACTGTCTATATCGGACGGCCAATGGGCTATGCCTTAACATATCCTACATCCAGAAGAGGAATTAAGTTTATCGAGGTAAAATGGTCATTCAATTATGAATATGGAAATTTATAAATCGATGAAAACCATCTTTTTCCTGATTCTTCTTCAGTGAGTCATTACACCAATGTTCTAGCTCTCATGAGCTTCGTGAGTATGATTGGAGGCCCACTTGGCGGTCTGCTTTTAGACCGAAGAAAACTCACCTTGTGTTCGTCAGAAACAGTCTCAGGTAAACTCTCTTCTCAACTAATTCAGTTTATATTTTGTTGGAGACAATTAATGCAAGTCGTTGTCCTGCGGAAATAGGGACTTTTAGATTTGAGTGGACTGACACGTGTGACGTCCATTCACGGCAGTGCATTAACAGGACGTCAATCGTAGCATAGACCTATTGTCTTCGTGCGAATCTAAAAGTCCCTAATGTCGTGGTTAAGTGGTTCATTCGCCTGACCTTCAATCCAAGGGTTGAGGGTTTGAATCCCAGCCCAAAAATTCCATGTTTGCCACTCCACACCCAGGAATTATGGGTATCTGGTCACTGCTGGGGTAGTTTACAAAGATCCTTAAGTCGAACTTAACCTTAAGTTGGATTTTAACATTATGGAGAGCCATTTGTAGCCTTGAAATGATTTATATTCAAAAGCAAAAATGCAAGTATTTTAGACTTTTCATAAATTCCTCATTAAGCACATGAAATCTCCTTGATAATAGAAAATATCATTGATTTGAAACAACATTTTATGTCTTTTACAAAATATTTCCAAAGATGCTAGCGGCTTTCCATAATGGTTAAGTCCAAATTAGAGATAAGTTCAACTTAGGATCTTTGTGAAGCGCCCCCTGGGGTAAAAGTAATCGCACGACCAGAGCAGTATTAATACTGATGTAGCTACCCAATTATTACTTTTTTAAATGTTTTTAAAGCTAATGAATAAGACAATATTTAACTGTTTTATACCATGCTTGCATTTGAAAAGAAAGTAGATGGAGATATAACACAAGTCCTGTTCGAAAAATATCCCTTATCAGTACAGTGGAACGGGAATGATGATGAAAAGTAGAAAGGGTTAACAAAACAAAAAAAGTACACATTTCTGAAATACATGAAGAAAATTAAGGAACGAAATAATGATGTTTCGGAGGAGCTAATTTACAAAATCTTTTCATTTTCATTTCATTTTTGTAAAACCTTCTCTATTAGCTAATAGCATGTATATATTCATGTACAAATGTGACGCCTCGGCAGCTGTTAAACTTAATTCATGAGCAAGCAATTATTTTAGAAAATTAAATAAACAAAATAAATAAATAAATATATACACAAATATCAAAATAAACAACTTCTATACTAGCATGTAATAGTTTTTTGTTTATAAAGTGAAAGAATAAGCATTGATCCTTTGCCATGTGACCTCAATTTAACCAATCGTGTCGGGCTCGTCATTTTGTTTTGTATGTGAGCTACAATAGGCTATTATCCATTAATAATTGACACGATTTATTACTATCATCAATATTCCCTCACTAGTTCTCGCCATCCTTACAAATTGTTGTATCTATACTCTTTTTCATCTGGTTCTAGAACCTGAGTATGGGCCATACACCGACCTACGAAACAGCTGGTTGGCAGTGACTTGCACTACTCTGATGTCACTAGCCTACACGGCGTGCATGCTGGTTCCGATCCTCCCTCTCCAGTATTTGACCTTTGCACTCTTGACATTGTGCAGGTCAATGTTGTACAGTGTGTCGGCAGGGGTTATTCCACTCACGTGCGTATCTCAGTAAAATGTCATTCCATTTAAGATATAATTCGTACGGTATCGTTGTAATCTATTTCTCGATTTTTAAAATGAAAAAATGCTTGGAATCATAAGAAAATTTGCCTCTATAAAAAAGAATTACATAGGATGTTAATGTTTCAATTTAATTATTTTATTTTGAAGTCAGAATTTTGAAGTTAAAAATCAATTGATGATCAAAATAATCAAAAGTTCACTGTCATAATTTTATTTTCCTGCTAGATAGATGTTTTATTGGAGGGCGTCCAATATATTGCAATCGCTTGCTATCACAGAAAGTATTGAAAGGGCTGAGACGATTTGTATGAAATTAAACTCTTCATAATTATTCGCTTTCAGATTGGTAACGAACACTATGATACACATTTTTTAAAGTATGAAATTCTTATATCATGTTTTTCATGTCGATTGCAGGTTTCCGATGAGATATTATGGTATCGTTTATGGTATGACCTACTTATTGATCGGTGTCTGTGGCTTTCTTCAGTATCCGCTCTTCATCCTCATCCAAAATGTGCTCTTTGGTGATCCTGCATATGTGAGTATATACTCTGACAAAGACCAATCACGTACCTATACCTAGACATCACACCCTCGTTTGTACCACTTTAATGTCGACGCGACCGATGCTATAGACCGCCAACGGTCCGAACAAAAATTTGCATTCCCGCGAATGGCCATGAGTGTGTTGGTTGTTGGTCGGTTTCGAGTCGGCCAAGAAAGACAACAGACCGACAGCGGTCCGAACAAAATTTGGCATTACCGCGAATGGCCAAGAGTTTGTTGGCCGTTGGTCGGTTTGGAGTTGGTCAAGAAGGACACCAGACCGACAATAGACCGGACAAAAACAAAACGAAAATCATCAAATTATCAACTGAGGTATATTGCCGGCATCACCAAGAACAGACTAAAATACAGCCGACAGGCATCCAAAATTGGCCAGGATTTTGTCAAGTATCAGTCAGTTTGATGGTGTGACAGAGGAATAATTTTCTTGATGTGTATTACTCTTGAAAACGTACGTCCTGGATGCATCGTTATACTTAGCGATGTTATGATGAATTGATGATAGTCTCACACATTTATCCAGATACAAAAAGTGTGGTAGCCGAGTCGTACTTATTCTGAATCCAGTCCGACCAGGCCAGCCCTTTTAATATAATTAAGATTAATAACTTATCAATAACTAGCTACCGTTATACCTTCTAAATTACCATCAATTATTTTCCTAACATTTATGTCCTATTTCTTCGTTTTGAATCTTCGGGTTAAACTTGGAAAATCGTGTAGTGCAGGATGTAGTCGGCGGATATACTTCGGAAATAGAATACAGGCAATTACTCGAAAACAACCCATAATGAATATAGTGCCCTCGTTGTTCATTGCGTGGCAGTGTGACAAGATGAAAATATCCCGAATTCAACCTACTGTTTATTAATACACGTTTGGAAAAAAATAATGCTCAGGATATATTCATTTAATATGTATGTTATTTGGAAGGATATTTACATGACCAATCTTTTATGTATTCTTTAGATACTTGAACCAAACTTTTTATTTATTAAAAAAGAAAATAGAAAAAGAAAAAACAAAAAAAAGAAAATCTGTGTTGACAGTAGGTTGATTGTGAAAGATTTTGTTTATTGTTGATTCGGCTTAAAGGCATTTCGGTCATAATTGAATATTTTTCCTTTCGTTCAATCTGCCTTGTTTGAGGTCGCTATATTCACTGAGCGTTATTCGCTGTTTTCAACAAATTTGCCTGTACTCGGTTTTCCGACGTTTGTATCTGAACATATACGTCAATATACATTTATCATATCGACAGGCTCCTGGATAACCATGATCAGGCCCGTACGCAAGGGGGGGGGGGGGGTTAACCCCCCTTGAGTTTTTGTATGTGTATGTTTTTCGGGAAACCCCCCCCCCCCCCCTTTGAGTTTTTTATTTATTTTTTTTAAAAATATTTTTTTAATAACAACAATTACAAAAAACCTAATGGATGACCTAAAAAAGATAACCTTACCCCCCCCCCCACGAAATGGAATGTCGAACGGTCAAATTTTTAAAATTTCGGGACCCAAAAAAAAAAAAATGTCCTCTTACCCCAGCCCCTCCCCCCCCCCCCCCCAGCGGCTGGCTGAGTCGTTGCGAAATTGTTGGCCGATTTCAAAATGTTAACCCCCTCCCCCCTTTGAAAAAAATCCTGCGTACGCCACTTACCATGATAACTAATATATCTAAGTACGATTGATTCCTATTTGCAGGTTTTGATCGGATTTATAGTGGCCAACCTCCTGACCTTCTCCTATCCTGCTTACATCATCTACCACGTCAAAAACAAGATGGCAACGAATCATGGATAAGACACAGAACTCTATAGAACACGAGAAAAGCTTCACATTCGTTTATAACTCTTACACATAACAGGGCCTTTTTAAAGAGTGTGGCAGCTGGGCAAAAAACATTGGATAAGATACAGGACTCTACCACGTTGCATTTCACCACCTTATGCTACTCACAGACGTATCAGGGCATGTTTTAAGAGTTTTCTTTAAGTTCTGCATCGCCTGAACAAATATCATTAAACATGATTGCAAAGGCTTTCAAGGAGTCAATTAACTCGGAGAACAGTTTAGATACCTTATTTTATTCCCTGTAGAAATCATGTTCGGATGACGTGGTACGTCTCGTTCATCAGTGTGTCTGTACGGTCCAACATTTGAAGCAAAAGACCGCTGAAAGGTCGGGGTCGGTTTGAGAACGCTTTAATTGATATTATTGTTACCATGGCTACAGTATATATGGAGAAAAGTTTGTTCGACCGCCCTTACAGCTATATAGACGTAACATAAAAAGCGCCTTTTTAAAGAGCCCTGCACAGGTTCGGTAACAGTCGGGTGATCCGACATTTGTTCCGGCGACAATTGATCCGGTCTTTATCAAGTCAAAGGTATAGGGGTAGGCTTGGGGTTACAGTTAGGTTTCAGGTTAAGTTTAGGTTAGAGGCCATGGTTGGGTTTAGTGTTGGGTCAAAGGTTGAACTCGGTCAGTGTAGGAATTACCGCTGAGAAATAGTCACAGGAGCAAGTGGCGTAAAACCGGAACTGTCTTCGATATAAATATGATTATCTACAGAACCTCTTAAATAATTAGATCAACTCGGTTCCGATGGGTAATATCATGGACCTAGGTCCGTGGTAATACCCCCCGATTCATGGCTATTATGGTGACTCACCGTAACCTTTCAACCAAAATGGCCACACTCCTACATGTATGTTTATCTAGCCAGGTTCATATTTATCTTATTTTTATATCATGAGTTCTATATAATGATACTTATGTGCCTTTTTATCGTGGCTAATATAGAGATTTGAAAAGATGAAGCCCTTTTTTTAGTACCGGCTATGAAGCTCTATTTCGAGTAAAATGTCACAAAAGTCACTCTCACAAAGTCAAAGTCACAAAGCTGAGTGGGCTCTCCAGCCATTCACTATATATTTTGTATTTATAGATGTACTTTTCTATTTTGTTGTATTGCTTTTTATTTGTGATTTGGAAAATGAAGTGTAGTTTAGGCTTGCCAAATTAAAAAAAATAGCGAAAACGCGTTGAAAACCACTTACTATTGAAATAGCCAACAATCACTATGAACATGACTGACAAAGAAAGCGGACAAAATATACAGTTTTTCAGGTAGACAAAGGAACATCCCTTCACTGCTATTATGTAAAAATGTGTAGAACAGGTGTCACATGCATATTCACTTTTTACGTAATAGCAGTGAAGGGATGTTCTTTTGTCTACCTGAGGAACTGTATATTTTGTCCGCTTTCTTTGTTCGACATGTTCATAGTGAATATACAATTGACAACTAGATAACTTAAAGATTACAAAACCTGGTGGTAAGGGTAGAAGTAATTTAGTGTTAACTGTATACACACAGGACAACGTTACAGGTATACAAAAAAAAAAAAACGTATTTGATACGGACATTATCCCAACCTTTCATGAAAAAACCGGTGAATATTACTCAGCAGATATATCTTCTGTCATATAAAATGGCACATAATATTTGTATCTATTTTATATATTTATCAATAAATTTGTAAAATCATGACACTTGAATTGGATTTCTGGTAGACTTTATTTGATATCGTCTACAGAACATAGTATTATATTTGAACTTTGCTTTTTTATGAGATATTAAAGTTACTGATTAATGTATATCATTTTGTATTTGTCGTAGCTTTCAGGACTGTCAAAATTGGGGAAGCTCGAAGATAAGATCGCTTATCACTATCGCATTCCATCATTTGTTATTAGAACTTCCTCTTTTTAACTGAATTATAGCAATATTTTATACCTAATGGGTGGGAAAAAAAGTTCGTCAGCAAATCAAGTGGATAAGTTTACAATGAAGTTGATACGATGCTGAAATTCACTTTGCCGTTTGCCGTTTTACTTTGATTTTTCCCACTGATAAGAAGTTCTCATGTTTTAGATGCTGACTGATAGTGATGACGTTAATCCATATTCGAAATAGGATCAGGGCTACGTCGATGGCTTTTTCTTTATACAATACAATAATCAGATATGGGAGGATTCGGGGAGAGAGTTAGGGTAAACAGAAGACCTAAAAATAATATGTAGCAATTGCCAATGTCATATGACGTGATTGTATAGAGAATGATATAATATATACAATTTTGAATCCTCGTGGTCATTATCATGGAAAAGTGTTGAGAATTGATTCAGAGAAGAAGAGGGGAAAGAAGAAGAGGAAGGAGAAGAAGAAGAAGAAGAAGAAGACGAAGAAGAAAACGAGGAAAAAGAGAGAAAGAGAGAGAAGGAAAGAGAGAGAGAGAGAGAGAGAGAGAGAGGGAGAGAAGAGGCAGAAGGAGAAATATATAAATAAGAATAGAGTGAACGTCATTACATTGAGAAGGTGAGTGATATGAGAAAGAAATATCATTTTCATCATACGTTCTGGCCGCTCTCTCTTCCTAATCGGTCTTTCACTAATAGTCTCTCGATCTCCCTATTCTTTCTTATATTCTAAAATCTCTATCTCACGCTAGCGACATTTCTTTTCTTTGCCCCTTATTTCTTATCTATCTTTTACTTATTCTCTATCGGCCTCTCTATTCCTTTGTTTATATATACGCTAGCTACAATTCTTTTTTAAAATCTTTGCCCCTTATTTTTAAAATTATTATCCTTACCCTCTTTATTATCTGATTCTGACTTATTTCTGACTCCATCAGTGCCATCAACCTTCTATTCCTGTTCTATCATTCAAACATTATCAATTGACAGTATTCGGACAGGAGAAAGGGCATCTTTTATTCAATTAAGTGTCATATTAATTTCTCGATCTTTATATCCTACATGAAGAGCAAGGCAGATATACATTTTGTTAATATTTACAAACAAGATATTTTGTACATACTACTGCACATGTTGGTGCTACAGGGTAAGCACTAGCTCAATACAAGACGACTAAACACTGATAAGTGATTTTGAATTTTGACGATGGAAATTTACATACAAACAAACAAGTCACATTAAAATAAAACATGTAATTATATTCCTCTTTAAGCTATCAAGAAGTTAGGGGAGTGCTTGGTAACTGGATGAGTACATGGGATAGGAGTTTAAAAGCAATGGCAAACGTTTGACAATTCATGACTTATTAAACATTATAACTTGTACTAACAAAATATTGCAATATTACTAACGTTTATGAAGGTTACGGAGGGAGAAAGAGTAAAGATGAAAAATTCACTGTGCAAAAACTGAATGCAAAATAAACAATGCAAACTTGGAATGGAATTACCATTCCCCTCCTCCAACAGAAACAAAAAAACAAGTAACTCACTGCAATGTGTCACTGTCCATTTTGCAATTGCTAATTTGTATCACTTCACTCTCACATTGCGCGTCAAAAACAGCATCAGTCACTGGCCATCTAACTATACTCATTGCACACGAGGCGTAATTTGCCTGACGTAGGATTGCGTCAGTGAATGGTCAAGCAAACAATGGCTTGTGTGTAACACGCTTTAGAGTGTCAATGTCAGAGGTATGTTTCAAATAATTAATGCTAAATTGAACAGAGCAAACGATGCTTTGAATTATAGACGCATATGTTTATCGTTTACTTGACGTATAATTGCGCTAAAGACTGATGTGATCATTGACGCACCATGATCAAGTGATTTCGTTTAAAAAAGAGCAAATTCTAAACATTGCAAGCAACGTTTGTAATTATTGGCGTATGTGCTTATTCTCGTCTTCGGTTTGGTTGACGCAGGTAATGAACTCAATCGAAATAACGCAATCGGCGTTAGTAAAAAAAAGTGCGAGAGATATTAATCGAGTAGCACCGTCACGGGTTTAGATTCCCCCGCCTCGTGGGCCAGTAGGCGGATTCGGTCGGGGATTCTTGGGTGGACCAGCAGGGGGCTGCGCTTGAGATAAACCTAAATGAACAAACAAAATAACACCACATAAACAAAGGTTTAAAGGGTATTCTCCTGCAGTGAAGATAAGGTAGTTCCAAAATTATTGAGGTCACATTTGATGGTTTACTTGCTTTGGTTTAATTTTTTCTCCAAATTTTGGACATTCCTTTTTCCTCATATTTCTGCTTTAATTCAAAGGATCATATCACCAAATTTGATTTTTCCTTGAAGTGCATGTAAATCATCTCCATTATCATTTCTTTTCCTTTCATTGTAACGCCCACAAAAAAGAACGACAATGTTATACTTACGCCAGCATTGATCAATGACTTTTGGTCCACGGGGGCTGCACGCAAGTTCCATAGCATCACAAGGCCCTCGAATAGGGACGACGCTGGCGCCCTGGGCGTAGCACAGCATTCCGTTTCGTGCCATCCTGAAGAGTTTTAGCATGTATCTATCACGGCTTATATCCTTATCCTTGTCATAAACTTCTTCTAGGACGTTCCAGTTGCAGACACCATATCCCTCATCCATCTTCTCCCAAGTAAATAACCCACAATACCGCGTGAGACGAGCAGTGGGATTATGCATCGGTCCTGTAAATCAAAGAGGATTGCAAACGCTAACCGAACAAGGGATGACAATACACACGCTCATGAAATAAATGACGTCCTATATGAAAAGCCGCCAAGAGCAGCCAAGCGCCAATTCAGATTTCGCGAAACATACATATCAAACATAAGTCATGTTATTTCATTTCAAATTTGACTTCTCCGAGGCTTTCAACAACATAAGTCCCAGCTAGGCAACATCACCAATGCACATTGCATATGGACTGGGAATTACTTTATCATACAGAACACGATTCGTATCCGCAAAGAACTTTGATTCAGGTGTTCCCCAAGGATCTATCCTCTACCCTATACTATTTGTTAAACCGTCGAGTATTTTAGCATTAATTCGCATTATTCCTTCACAGCTTGAAAATCATAAATAAACGAAATTCTTGAATGATTTAAAGGCTGTCCAGGCCCTGGACAGCCTTTAAATCATTCAAGAATTTCGTTTATACTCCAGTGATCATTGACCGGGGCAAAGCCGTGTGAGAATTAAAAGGTTTTAAAACATTTTTAGTTTTAATATATCTGATTCTTTTATACGAGTCCTCCACCGTAGGGAAATATTTGTATGCCTGGTCAAGCAATTAACTATTTTCATCTCTAATTTGTCTAACTGGCGATTCCGTGCGATCTTTTATACTAAGAACTATTAGCCATTGTCATATCAAGATAAATATATATATATGAAGTGCAAACACATACACAAAAAAATACATCGTATGAACAAATATATACAAACGTCATACAAACTTAATATCGCTCAACCATAATCAAGCATCATGAACAAAGCAAAATTAGTACGAGAAATATTTTGGGAATAAACTTAGAAAAGATTATGTAATTTCAAAATGTTTTACCTTGCTTGGGTGATGGGCTGTCGGTGTGTTTATTCAGTTGATGTGATATATTCGTCGCTGTTTTCACGAAGTGACGGTAGTGAAAAAAAATTGCATTCACTTTGCGTTACGATTTTCCTCACTACCGTCACTTCGTGAAAACAAGGACGAAAATTATGTGAACGTGTAATAAGTGTATATATATATATATATATATATATATATATATATATATATATATATATACACTGTAGTTGCACGGAATCTACAACTTACGTGAAAAGGGGAAAAAATAAAGAAAGAAAACACCTACCCGGGCCATATCTGCCGTATTTGACGTACATGCCAAACAATCCGTTTCCTTGTGTAACACTGATCCCAACAGATAGACAGAATGCCACGATCATCATCTTCTGAAATTAAGTTATGTGATTGACAGCACAAAATTCCAGGTTATTACCATTATTAATTGTTTTTGCAAGCCTTAAATCTTGCTTTAATAAATTTTAATATGTAAGGCAGACAAAATTCAAAAATCCAAAAGCAGTAATCATACTCCATACTTCAACGACAATCATTATCAGTTTGTTTTCGAAATCGTATTTGATTCGTTTAGTGAAAATATAAAGTTAAGATAGTATTTAAAAGAATTCGTTCTTAGATCAATATTTGTGCTTCGGGCATTTTCTTTCTTGTATACACCTTGAATAAGTTGTAATAAAACTGCTCGATTCTGTGTACTAACGTATGATGTTCGACTTTCAATTCTTACGAAAATACATGAAGTGATTAGTTTCAAATGTAAATTTAATTGTAAAATTTCGCAAGTGAATCAGACAGAGCAATTTTGGTCAGTTAATGTACTCTCCTCCTTTTACTTAGCTATTTTAACTCAATAAATATCTTGTACTTCTCAATATTGTTTAACATAAATTAAATTGCTTTAATATTATTGTTTAAATCATGAATTTACAACTATTTCAGTAGGCTGGAAATATATGTCCGTTGTTATGATAAGACACCTTGAAATTTGCAGCGTAGAGTACCTCCCCCCTCCCCAAATTAACAAAGAATTGACATGTCCATAAGCAACTCTAACGCTACTTATCGTGCCAGGAAGTTATCAATTTTTGAATTGCTTGAAGGGTTGAGAGACCAAATCAGTGCAGGAAAATGTGAACAAAATTAAATCGTTTCCAGTTTATATACGACACTTTTTACTGCGACGATTGCTCCGCGATTATTTTCTACACTTACCGAATTCCCAACTTCAACACTGGACTCAACGCTAAACCTAGCCTACAACCCACTTGCAATCATAACCCAAATCCTGTACTTTTTGACGTTATCAATTCAGGAGCAATTGTCGTCGGGGAAAGTGTCGGAGCATCGAAAGAAAACGTCTGCTTTAAAATTATCGCACTTACCGTTGCAGCCATTGTGCAGTTGTAGTTGTGCAAAGTATTTCGAATCGAAAGTTTGAGAAAAGCTTTTAGATGTTAATACAGTTGTTACTAAAACTCGACTGGTGTTCCCCGCCCAATGCCGGTATTTATACCATGTATACCATTGCAAAAAGGGCGAAATTTTATCCATGGGGTCTGTATTTTAGAAACCATCTCCGCTTACCCCCAGGGGTGTATAAGTTTGCCCTTGGGTGCAGGAGTAGGGTATAAAGTTAGCACCCTAGCTAAATTGGCTCCAAATACATGATCTTGAGCCCATGCCAAACTTTACAAATATTGAACATTTAGAAGTCAGCAGAGTTCACGAAAATTCATTACAGGAAAAGGCAGTGGCAAAACTACGGGAGGCACGGGCCACGTGGAAGAAGGGGAAAAGTATCCCGCACCCCCCTTTAATCGTGTAGTCTTGCAAATTCGCATTTAATTTTTCGAGTAGCAGTCAGAAATAAGCAAGGACCACACGATGATTCGACATGTGTGTAAAGTCCAACATACCTACCTGTGTGAAGTACATTTATCCGTCTGTGTTTTTCCGAGGGGCGAGCCACTATGTTGAAGATTACCCAAATTCAGAATACAAGATTATTCTTACGTACTATAAATAATTAAGTGGCGAAGGTAGGCTGTTGTGCCGTGTCAGGGGTCCGAACCCCGAAACTTGTGATGGACAGTTCGGCAACATGTCCGTTGATCCCCGACCTCTAAAGTTTGCTAAGAATCATATAATTTTATTTATAACAGTACTTTAACATGCAAGTCGCATAAACTGCATCACCTGTTCTTTTAAAGCTACTCGCGCTAATGAATATGTGATGTATAGAGAATCAGTCCTTCTGAATGTGCGAGATAATGATATTCTTAATAACATCTTTGTATGTGGAGTCCCACAGGGGTCACTCCTAGGCTTACTTAATATTCATTTACCTTTTGCTCCTAAATTGATTTTCGTTTTTAGTTTATATCCAGATGATACAAATGCACCTAACTTCATTCTTCATTTTCTTACAAGTGTTACCCCTGTATGCTTTAGCCAATGAAAATATAATGATAGTCTACAAATATCTGCAAGTCATTCGACTATCTGTAAATATAAGAAGTGTTATATTATATATCATATTCATCAATAAAAAGGACAAATTGCTCAGTTTACATGAAACAAGAATAAAAGTAAGCAATGCAGATATTAGCACAGTTGGAAAGAAGGAATATCTGGGCATTTAACAAAAAATGATTACCGATTGTTTAGGAAAATGTACATTCATGGAGTGTAAAATTGCTGAAAAGAGAGTATTATTACAATCATGGAATCAATTTCCTGTTTCCTAAAAAAAATTATCCAAATTTAAAAGTACTTTCTGCTTCTCCCTTATGTATCGTATTGCAGTCGTGCGTCTCGAACTCGTGGTGTAATTCCTTTCTCATTTTATTCTCGTCTTTATTCGTCAGATCTTCTCCTATCTCTGCTCCGCGCTCTCACCTTCTTTCTTTCTCTGTCTCCACACGCACGTTTTCTATTCTCCCCTTCTCTATTATTTTCGCCCTCTTATCTCACCACCCCCTCTCTCTCTCTCTCTCTCTCTCTCTCTCCCTGCCACTCTCTCTTATATCTCCTATCTCTCTCCCTGTTTCTCTCTCTTCCTCTTGTCTGTCTCTCGGCTCTCGGCTATCTGCCTTTTTCTTTCTTTCTCTCTCTCTCTCTCTCCCTCTCCCTCTCTCTCAATTATTTATCTACATTTCGGGTATTATATGTCTTTCTTGAATTATTAAAGCCATTTCTCTCTTTATTATCTATTTCCAACGTCTTCTTTCTTTCGACATAGTCAAATTCAAGGAAATACACATCGTGTAGGAATAATATTGACGCATTAACTTATTACATAAGAAAAGACGAAAAACGGTTTCAATTAGATTTAGTACACATATGTTCATTTTCGATTTATTCATTCATGAAAGAAAAAAACAAGCATATTGGCATTTTTAAAGCTTAGAACTACAACAAATAATAATTTCATTCATCATTGCAACGTGCTATATTAAAATAAATTTCAAATATCACGATTGTGATATTCTAAACCGAATTGTTAAATGTGGAAATTGAACTTACTTATCATCACGATAACGTAACATACAGATACAAATTATTACTACATTTAAAAAAAAAATGGTTTACATGTTTAAAAGAACGTGTCAGTGTCTGACGCACTCCTACGTCAAAAAGAGATGGGCATAATGTATTTCAAAACGTCATTGCAAAAGTAGTACCTTACAACAACAAATATTAACGCATGGTGTTATTTGCACATGCTTTAATTTTCCCCACAGGTTTGATTAGCGTAGGTAATAGTGAAAGCGGATTATGCAACATGCATTACTCCTGATGCCCACGATGCGACATGTTTTCTGATATAGGGCTACGTCAGAAACCATATGAGAGTTTAATGCCTGTTATACACGAAGAGACATTTCGATTACCGCGCTAAACAAAATCGTGAAAGTGCTTAACCCATACGCCTGTACTTCAGCGTATTATTTTTATGGTTACATTTTCATTCACGTTATGTAGATCTCTATCTCATTTGGCGCATCCAGGATCGCATTGGTCGTTGACGCAGTCATACGTCAGTAAAATGACGCAGTCATCCGTCAGTAAAATTACGCATCATGTTTTAACGGGCATATTAGTTTAATAGTTTAAGAGAAGGTGGGTGAGAGACTTTCGTTGAGTAGCTTCGTCAAGGTTTTAAATGCCGCGGCCACGGGGCGTTGCAGGAGGCTCCGGTCGAGGAGTTGGTGCGGCGGGGGCGGCTGGTGGCTTGGCTTGGGACAACCCTAAAAGTATTCAGAAACAGAAAGAAGAACAACGATTGAATGTTCATTCTAAGGCAATCAGAAGAACACATGCATCACAGTTTACAACATGAAGCTGGAGTAGAAGGATTGCAAGTTGTGACATGAATATACGATTTTCTTTAACAAGTCGATTAATTTTTGTTAAAGCCTCGAAATTTCTTTGATTTTTATATTAATGGAAGCAATGAATGACTATATCATACTTACTCCAGGATTGAATTGAAATTGAATGTTGATTATAAGGCCATCAGAAAAACACATGCATCACAGGTTACAAAATGAAGTAGGAGCAAAGTATTGTATGTTGTGGCATGAATAAGCGATTTTCTTTAACAAGTCAATTTATTTTTTAAGCCTCGAGAGTTGTTTTTTTTTTTTTGGGGGGGGGGGGGGAGGGGGGGGGGTTTAATAGAAGCAATGAATTACTATATCATACTTACTCCAGCATTGATCAATGACTTTCGGGGCGTGGGGACGGCAAGCGAGTTCCAACGCTTCACAGGGTCCATGAACGTTGACTACTCGGGCACCTTCGGCGTAGCACAACATCCCGTTCCGTGCCATCCTGAAGAGTTCTAGCATGTATCTATCACGGTTGATGTCCTTACTCTTGTCCCATATTTGTTCCAGGACCTTCCAGGTGCACATACCATATCCCTCATCCATCTTCTCATAGGCGAATAACCCACAGTACTGCGTGAGCCGGGTGCTCGGATCATGCCTTGGTCCTGTATACGGAAGTGGATTATAAACATCAATCGAGCAAAGGGTTTTAGTATAACCCACGCGCTCATGTAGAAAAAGAATCGTACGAAATGCCCGTTAAACACAGGGCTTTATTTCTTTGACGTAAGAATGCGCTAGCGACTGGCAAGGTTTTAAGTGCTTTATCCACCAGAGATGTAATTTCGAATGCGCTATTGCCTACGTTACTCAATTTTTATGAAAAAATACATGCATGTACGCGCATGTAATTCTACGCAATGGTCACTTTGTTCATTTTCCTGTCTCTTTGTGTAGGTATCCCTCTCACACTACATCGCGCGTCAAAGTCGCTGACGGAAACGTACATCAGTAAAGTAACGCCTCATGCGCAACCGTCATGACGCGCTATTTGGGAATGACGTCGCACAAATAGTTAATGTAAAGTAAACGAAAAACATTGCGACCAATTACTGGCACTCGGACCAATTGCCTTTACATTCTCGAATAGCAAAGGCAATAACGCAATCAAAATGACGCAAGTGTGCTATGGGCATTAATGACAGTCAATGAATTTCTTCAACTAAATCACAACATAGCAAATGCCTGTTGCACAAAAGGTATCAATCATCTTGTTTGACGTATATACCCTATGATTTTCAATCACTCCTGTGGACTTTCTCAAGCTAAGTGATGCTTTTTATAACACTACAGTCTATTGGGAAAAAACAAGTATGGTAAAACCGGTCACTCAAATATTTTTACTTTTTTGAGGCACTTCATGATCTTTTTGAAGCGCAATGTTTAGGATTTCAATATCCTGATTACACCATATCACAGACACTGATAACACATAGGGCCATGTATCTCATATTTAACATTGTTAAATGATGCCTCTAAACCACGATTAATTGGATTTTAATTTCATTAATGACAATAATTACTCACCTCCATGACCCCCGTAGCCTCCGTATCCGCCGTATCTTTGTGACGCACAGGCACATATCATAACAGATAGACAGACTGCCAGGAGCATCATCTTCTGAAATTACAAGACAAACGAAAATTCATGTCATCGTTCAACATATTACATTTTTTTGTTACTATTTTCCAGCCTTTTTTTAAAAAGAGATGCGATCAAACTTGCGGCAATTTTGGTTCATCTTCCCACCTCGTGTTTCTGCAGGAAAAGCTAAACTGGGAATCATTTTATTTCACATTTTGTAATAACAATATTATTTGTTTGAATATGTGTTTAATTATTTGATCGTCTGGCATAGGATAATATGATAGCATGATAATACGATAATAACACTGTACACTGAACGTAAGCTGTTGTCCTAGATTGAATTCCAGATAACAAGCGCAACTTTTCTTGAGGCGGCCGGAAATCATCAATTGTTGCTCATTGCTCTCTTCTAATGAGAAGAAAATGTTAATACATTAAAAATGAATCCCTCTCAGCAAAAACAGTATATATACAAACAGAAGCTACTTCCAAGAAATCATAATGGGTATAATGATCACACTTACCGTCATAGTCATTTTTTTAGTTTTAGATTGACTCGAAATTAGAAAGAAACAATCTTGAAAACTGCTGGATGATGCCAAACTTTTACCAACTGGCAATCGCCCACCCCGTATCAGTATTTATACTCTCTTGCTCTTTTGGTTCAAAATATGATCCATTCATGTGTCATTTAACAACGAGCTCCCCTTACAACTCCTCAGAAATATGCCAAAAATACATCTTGGAATATAACACCCAGCCATGATCAAATTATGATATTGAAGAATATCATATTTGAGATAGAAGTCTTAAAGGCACGATACGAATCTTCCTTTATTTGGAGAAAACTCAGGATACACTTTGAAGAATATTCTGAAGTGAGAAAATGGAGGATTTCTTTAGAAATAACAACACTTGCTATTTAACCAAACAACTATTACCCTATTGCATTTATGTGCGAATAAAATAAACAAATACAAAAATACTTTGAAATATTGAGCCGGACTACCTGTTCTGACCGGTGATCCAACATTTATAGGGTTGGGATTTCAATTGGGTTTCATGTTAGGTTTTGGGTAAGGATTAAGTAGTAAGGAATTTGGTAAGTGTAGGAAACAGTTCTGACCATTATGTCTGAACGCGGTAATTGCATGGGAACTTACTTTCACATATTCATATCAGGAATATAACTCTACGGCATTTGTATTAGATGCACTTATATTTAAAAACAAATATCCCGAGACACATGAGGTACATATTTTTTTTTTTTTTACCCATGTACGTCGGTCGTCGGTCAAAGCCTTCGAGTGATCTCTTCATCTCCGGTAACCATGTAAAAATTGAGAGTAGAAATGTAGATTAATGTCTTGGAAAACGGATGTTGGTACCGTGGCAGGGATTTGGACCACTTACCTTAGGATCCACACTTTGCTGATTGTTCAGCAAAACCACGTCAGCATTCAGAAATCACACACAATGCACCGCTTGACCATTACAAACTATATGGGGGAAAGGAGGGTTGTACAGTCCATGTCCTTAAGAGCGAACAAAAAAAAATGGCTTCAAAATATTTCCTCAGGAGTTTTGATAAAAACCATAAACAAAAGGAAACAAAACAAAAACATAAATTACAATAACTAAAACAGAACTGTTAGATGTGCAACTTGAAACATACAATACCAAAAGGCGTATATACACACACACATACATGTATATAATACATGAATATTATACTTGTGCGGAATGAAATAAGAGAATGATGGTGAGTGGCTTTACCAATGTTCCCCTTTGCTGACCTCTGTTTTCTTTTAATATTTTCAATGTACATATTAATTTTTTGAAATTATATATGTTAAGGGCTGGCATTTATCCAACATGTATTTTTGGCAATCAGGGGCTGTAATTAGAGATCTTCTCTCAATTACAAATGTCAGTGGATTGTACTTCGCCCGATGACCAAAAGGTATAAGTATAGTGATATTGGACGAAAGATCATCATTTCAATTCGAGTAACAAGTGTATCGTCAACCAGGAACTTTCAAAATATTTTTGTCCAGACTCTCAGCTGACCAAAAGCTACAGGATGGCGGCAACGGTAAGTTCTTTTTTTTCAGCAGATTTGTTTTCTTCTAGTAGTTTTCAATTTTGTACGCAGAGATTCATCTATTTTTTGCACATTTACATCTGACTTGGATTTTCAACACCCGAAGCAATCCAGGAAATATAATTGATTAACTGAAAGTCATTTCGATTCAAGGACAAATCAATATGCTTCTTTTCAATAATCTGGATTTCCGGAGCTCTGTTGTGAAGATAAAAGGTTCCTGTTGGCTTATATCTCTTACGTTTTCCTAAAATACACAGCGGATAGACTTTTGAAGAGTGTTCAAGTCTGGGAATGATTGGATTTATTAAACAAACAATCTGTTCGAATTATATAGAGTATTCTTTTAAATAAGAAACATTCGTTGCAATCTGAAGAGGAGGCTGAAATAATTGGATTTGTTTATTTTTTTTGAAGAAGATTGTAGTGTCTGATTTCTTTGTATTGGAATAATTATTGCATCCGTTGGAAACTTATACAACTATGTTGGAAGTTGATACCCGTGAGGTACAAATGCTATCATAAATTTAACAAATCTGACTAAAGAGTATATCAATCATTATTCATAAGTAATTAAAAGTGCGCAATTCATTATTCAAAATGTCTAAATCAACTTATTTAAATAATGAATACTGTTAAATCGCTGTTAGTAAATAATTACAGCGTGCAAATCATTATTCATTAATTGTTATTTATTTTCTGTTGGTATAACATAAATAAAATTTTATATATGTGCGTATATATAACGTTTTTGTTAATGTTACAGTGAATAATGAATGATACTGTCCTTAGATAGTCTTTTCTTTTTTAAACACACTTTATTATGTTTACAAGCGACGCCTCATATTAAACACTTTAAAGAATTATATGAAGTGTTACTTTATAAAATGACATGAGTGTACGTCTATTTTATATCATATGATTTCAGAAGCTGCTACTCTTGGGACTCTGTCTATCTGTTATGATCTCTGTCTCTGTTTCACAAAGATTCCCGATGTATGGTGGCGGAGGTGGAGGGAGATTTGGAGGTGAGTACTTCTTCCTTTCATTGTCAGTAAATTAAACTGAAGCCTCTTTTTACCCATGACGCGGTTAACCACAAAACAAACGTTGCCGCGGCAAAATAAAATGACTTGTTACAAATTTGGGTGATTTAAATTAACTTAACACACAACTATAAAGTGAGCACGCTAAAGGTCTTTTTTCTTGCCTCGTCGTTTTTACTTATCTATTTAATTAAATTCATTTGTGTATTTACTTAATTGTTTATATATCTATGTATTGATTCTTCTATATATTCAATTCAACCCTCTATCTGTCTATTGATCCATTCATCTGTTTAATTACTTATGTTATTTTAAGTTCAGCAGTTTTATTGCTTTATGTCTCCACAATGGTAGTTAGTCTAGGTTTATCCCTTTTAAGTGGGGTTTTTTTCCTCGAGAGTTGTAGTCGAGAGAAATTTACGTAAGGCTTATTATCTACTTGTCGGAGAGTAAGTGACTTAGAGGCTATTTCTCCGGGGGCTTTTTTTGTCGGGAATCTGTCATCATCATTTTTATCATTATTATTGTTATTATTGTTATTATTATTATTATAATAAATAGAGGCTCAAATTAATGCATCGCTCTTCGTCAATCCACAGGTATAACACCCGGGGCCCGTCTTGCTAACTATTGCGGGATGTATAATAAGGAGAAGGTGGATGAGGGATATACGTGCAACTGGAATGTTCTGAAAAAAATATTTGAGAAGGATAAGGAAATCAACCATGACGAATCTATGAGACAGCTCTTCCGAATGGCGAGGAATGGAATGCTGTGCTACACCGAAGGTGCACGCATCGTGAACGTTAGAGGGCCTTGTCATGCCATGGAAGTTTCGTGCCGTCACTTCGCCCATAGTAGCGCAATTGATAACTGCTGGAGTAAGTATAGTACTTTATACTTTGATTTTCTTTCGTGAAAATGAAACACTATGGTCCGGATTTTACTAAAACTATAGTCCGTCGGTGGGTTTAGGGTTATGTTCGATATCGGTCCGTATTCTGCTAATTCAGTAAATCCGACGCTGGGTCTAAAATTACGTTTAACAAAAGAAGAATCTTAGACCTCGAACAAATTTCCATTTTGTACCCAATTTTTTACAAAAGTTTAAACCAAGCGTTGGGTTTAAATTGCAGGAGAATATGGGCCGATGGGTTTAACAAAGAAAAGTAGTTTCTAAGGTCTAGGTTTTCCTTTTGATTTTAGACCCAGGGTTGGGTTTTTAAACTGAATAAGCAAAAAATGGATCTAAGACTTTCAAAAAAGAATCTTGATTAAACTGTGAAATAGCATGTAGCAACTGTGGCAATGTTAACGATCATTTCTCCAATGTCGTATTGTAAATTGCCATGCAGTAGCTTTTCTAAAGGCTTTACATTTTTGCCTAACCCGTTTTCCTTTCTTCTTCTGAATCTTCTAGGAGTGTCACAAGCAAATCCACCTGCGACTGCTCGACCAAATCCACCTCAAGCTCCAGGTGGCCGCGGTATCTAAACCCGTGATGGTGCTATTCTAGTCCGCCGAACTTAAATGTTAATGCCCGGAACGCCGCACGAGTTCTCATTTTGCTGACGCATTGTTACGTCAGCGACTATTGAGTTCGTTGACGCACCATGTTAGATTGAGATACTATAACTTGTGAACGCAAAATGAACATTGCAAACAAGATGTGCGTATGTGCTATTTCTTCAATTGGCTTGATTTGCTCAGGTAATAACGCATTACAAATGACGCCTATTCCGTGACAGGCAATAAACTCTCAAATAAAGCACGTACCAAAGACTGCGTCCGTACTGACGCAGTTCTTTGTCAGGAAAATAACTCCAAACGTGCAACGAGGTGTCATTTACATTGTATATTACCTTCACTAATCAAGCCTTCGAAAGCAATAAGCGCATGCGCCATTAACTCAAAGATTGCACTGTTGAGCTTGCGTTCACTTTTTGTCACCGACAACGCCGAAATGATGCGTCAAAGGGCATATTGCACATTGGCCAAGAATCACCATTTGCTGACGGAGGACTACGTCAACCACTGGCACTTTCTTTAGCAAACCATGTAAACCTCAAAGAAAAATAATATTTTTTTTTTTTTTTTTTAATGTTCACATAATCATGATTGAAAAGTAATTTTCATTTCTAAAATCATATTAGTCAGGATCTTTATGTTCACAAATCTCTCCACAATCCTCTTCTTTTTTTAGAAAAGATATAGAAATCGGTAATAAATGTATGTGTACTGAATAATACGATGACTATTTTTTTGTCTGTTCTTGAAGTCATTACATTGTACAAGAATTCAATATCTATTGCCTTGGACATGCCAAGCAACCAGCAATAGACATTATGATGCAAAGGTAGAGAGCTAATGAAGAAAGAAAAGAGGAAAGGTGGAGAGAGAGAAAGAGAGAGAGAGAGAAAGAGAGAGTGAGAGAAAGAGAGAGAGAGAGAGAGAGAAAGAGAGAGTGAGTGAGAGAGAGAGAGAGAGAGAGAGAGAGAGAGAGAGAGAGGAACAACAAATGTGATAAGAATGAAAAAGAGAAGATAAAGAGGGGGTGCAGAGATAGATAGATGAGGAAAGAGACAGAGTTTGACGAAGAGCTTATTTACATGTGAAAAGAGACATGAATAGTGAGCGGAGTAAAAAATTAACTCTCAAAAAAGGGGGGAAAGAGAGGGAGAAAGACAGAGAAAAAGCTTAGAGAGATGGAGCGAGGAAGAGAGAGAGAGAGAGAGAGAAGATAAATTTAGGGACATGATTTGATATCATATATAATATGTTATGTATAAATAAGTACATATATATTATGTATTACCTAAAGAAACTAAACAAACCACATACACACACCACGCACATACACACATGCACATGCGTTTCTGGTGTAAATCGGGGACCCATATTCAATATGCGCACATATCTTTAAATCGAGGACACATTTGTACGTAGGAATATAACAACCTGAGTATGATTTAAATATGTCATGCATAAACGAGGAACTATTATATATTTGTAATGCGAATGGACAATTATGAAAGAAAATCAACTTTTGGACAATTTACAGGGTTCTCGAACCGATGGCATCATCTTGTTGCGAGTGGTCCTCTATTAGCTCACATAGTTTTATTTCAAAAAGGAGATAGACGTACTTGCTTCCGTGACCAAATTGAGTGTATAGTTCCTCGATTTGTACAGTAGATGAGGGCTTCCCACCCCCCCCCCCTGACACACACCCGTATGAATATGTTGCAAGTATAAAAGCTTGTTTAATAGTAGGCAACCAAAAGATATGTATTATGTATGTTTGTATGTACATCCCCCCCCCCCGATCAATTCGCGTTTGTTCTCTCTTTAGGTACCCCTCCCTTTATCTCTCTCTCTTTCTCTCTCTGTCCCTTTCTATGTCTCCTTATATTCACTTCTCTCTCTGTCCCTTTCTATGTCTCCTTATATTCACTTCTCTCTCTCTCTCTCTCTCTCTCTCCCTCTCTATCTCTCTGTCTCTCTCCCTCTTTCCCTGTCTCTCTCTCTTCATATGCCTATTAACACATTCCCCTGTTTGGTTATACATATTCTCATTCTCTTACTCACTCTCATATTTTGTTCATCTCTCCACCCACCCCCCCTCTCTTTCTCTCATTTGACTAATTTCATTTTCGCCTTCATTTTATTCTATTTTAACACTAGGCCCTTACATTTGTGTAGAATTTCATGTTTTCCCTATTGGCAATTTAAGAAACAGAAGGAAACAAGTTTGCATTTACTAGTAGTATAAATATTAGTTTATTTTCGATTACTACATTATACATATGTAACTTAAATTGCAATCATTATTACGTAACACACGTACATGTATATACAGACAAAACATCTCATAGTTTATATATATATATATATCACTTTTTAAGAGATTCATGGGATACATCAAAGACCGTACCACATGGCTGACGCAAAAGATACCTGTTTGGCTATGTGCATTATGCCCTACATGAACAGTGCAAACATTGGGATAAATTATTGGCGCATGCTTTGATTAACTATGCAGGCTTCTTTTAGCGCAGACAATGAGGCAATCGTGTGCAAGCTTCATTATGCCGTTTTGCATAGGTGGTGTGGGTTTTTCTAAATTGGGTCTGCGTTAATGACTAGCTCAACCTGTGACACAGTATGTGAGGGTTAAAGGTCCGCTGCACCCGGTGCGTCATTTCGCTGACGGAGCTCTACGTCAGTGAAATGAACTCTCGTGTTGCAATTGGCATGATAGCTTGGAAAGGGTGGTTGGTGAGACTTCCGTTGAGTAGCTCTGTCATGGGTTTAGATTCCCCAGCCTCCTGGGCCAGCTGCAGGCGGGTTCGGTTGGGGAGTCGCTGCGGGACCGGCAGGTGGCGGGTTGGGTGGAGCTACCCCTAGAAAGATTCAGAAAGATTGAGAAGAAGAAAATTGAGTTTAAATCGTAAGATCTTGAGAACAGGGTATCGTTCATGAAGTTATACAAAATGAAATTGAATTTTTCGTGTGCGTGTGTGTGTGTCAGTAGCTTTTACAGACGTGCGTCAATTAGATCCTTTTTGTTACGTCTTGGGTTGACTTTTAATGTCATCATCCGAAAGACGTGACTCAGTCTCAAACTTGGGTCCTTGTCGGCGAAGACGAGGAGGCTGACGATTAAAACACCTTGCATCTCCTTAAAAATGTCAGTATGACGTTACATAACGATACAATTTTTTTTTTACAATTAGCAAAATATCATCAAGATGTGCTTTTAGGTCTTGAAGACCTGACCTTATTTTGCTCGTTTTGCTTTGATTACTTTCTCCGGCAGCTTAGCAGTGCATGCCACACACAACAAAGCATTCGAGTACTCAACTGAAAAGATCATAAAAAAGAAAATATATATAAACGACAATTTCATACTTATACTCCAGCAATTGTCAACGGTTCTGGGGGCGTAGGGGCGGCAGGCAAGTTCCATGGCATCACAAGCTCCTCTCACGTTCACGACGCGGGGACCTTCGGCATAACACAACATTCCGTGCCGGGCCCGTCTGAAGAGTTGCCTCATGTACCCGTCGTGGTAAAGATCCTTGTCCTTGTCATATACTTCCTTGAGGACCTTCATGTTACATGCTCCATATCCCTCATCTATCTTCTCCCAGGTAAACAAACCACAGTACTGTGTGAGACGGCCGTTGGGATTAAAGCCTGGTCCTGTAAATTAAAAATAGACTGTTCACTCATCCGTTCACTCATCCATTCGTTAATCCATTAACATGTTGAAATAAGCCCGTTACACGACGAGGTGCTCTTCCGCTACTCAAAAAGGCGCCAATCGATTGTTTGATGCAACGGGATTGATTACATCAAACAATGGAGATTTAAACCCGATGCATACCAAGTGTCATTCCATTACCGCCAATAACGCCAACGATCTGGCGAATGTTTTAATCAATATAATTCATACCACCGTAAACAGTTAGGAAAGGGATCCCTCCAGGTAATGACGGCTGCGCACGAGCTGTGACGCGAATGTTCTGTACACAACCGTAGTGTAGATTGTTGCGCCAGTGCGCCGTCGATTTTCAAATCCGAAACCTTATACTAAGCCATCGCACCCTGATCCAAGGGGTACTCTCTTTACCAAGAGATAGCGTCTCGACAGCTGGCTGCATATATTATGTTTGCATGTCAGTGAGTGGCGTATTTAAAATTTAAAGAATATTTGCCTGAACTGCCCCCGTACAAATCAAAATCGAAATAAAAATATTTATAAAGCAATGTCCATTTCGGATGAAGAGAAAGCACTTACCTCCATATCTGCCGTATCTGCCGTATCTGCCGTACATTCCATATCCATGTGAAACAGAGGCACAAATCAGAACACACAGACAGAATGCCACGAGAATCTTCTGTAACTAGGTGATATAAAAACACAACAAAAACATGGTCGCCGTTTATGTTATTTTTTAGTTTTAAAAGCATTAGCAATATTCAATTTTGCTCAAATGATTTTATTGCGCTAGAAAAAACAACACCGAGCGAAATAACATAAATAAAGATCGTAATACTGGGATCATTCTCGTTTATTTCTTCAAAGAGCTTACAATCAAATTCATTCTCATTGATGTTAATCTTGAGAAATACAAATAATTTGTGTGGGTTAGTTTAATAAACTGTTGAACAAAGCGCTAATAACTTACATGAACGCAGAGTAAAAAATGGCGATAGTTTTGGGTCATGCTTTTTCTTAAAAAATATATAATTGTTTCACTGAATTTTTGCTTTCGTCTTTTTTTTCCCTACTTGATTACTTTAAAATTCAGTATGTTTGAAGATGTAATTTAAGCATACGATAGTTCTTCTGATAAAACAGGGCAGTATCGTATTGTTAAATGCCAGCTGTCCGTGTTAACACAAAATTCAGGAAGTTCATGGACACCCACCATTAGAAACAATCGTAAGAGTTTGCGTGAGGTGAATTATCCCATTACACAAAATAATTAGACAAATAATTTTAAGCCGCTCTTCAGATATACCTGAAGTTAATTTCGAAACGTT